CCCTATTGCTCCCAGCTGGTAGGATTCTTCCTCCTTTGTATCCATAAAACTCTTCTCCTGTGCCACTTCCCACCTTCTACCATGCAGTTATCTGTGGACGGACTCAGCCTCTGGTATCTCCTCGGGACCAGGGGCATACCTTTTCCATTCTGAATTTCCAGTACCAGAAAGTGGGTCCATCATGGGTGCAGAGCAGCATAAGATCATAGTGTACTGACTGTTCGAGTTAATTGCGTGCATGCGTGCACATGGGCGCGCGTGCGTGTGTGTGTAGTCAGCTCTGGAGACTTTGGAATCTACTGGTTAAAGGAAGACTATTTCTTATAACAGTCCTGACACACCCAGCAATTCTCTGCAGACTTCAGCTGTGTGTCCTGCAATTTAATTCACTTCTGACATGAACTACCTAGAGGTAATGCAGATGTCACAGGTTAAGGACTCAGTACCACAGAATTGGCCCCTTCCACAAATGCCAATTGCAGGTAATAGGTCCCAGGATACCCATACTTCTGTCTGACTTAGCTACATGTCTAGGGTTTCACAACCAGCCTTCTCGGGTTTGAGGATTTACTATAACAACTCAGAGAACTCAGAAAAATACTTTGCTTACATTGAACAATTTATTATAAAGTGTATTATGAAGACTAAAAATGGGGGCCAGCCCATGGTGTGGTGGTTAGGCAACTGGATCTCACATGGCCAACTGTGCAGTTTGAGTCTTGGACCCAGTGACTTGAGAAACATGTCAGGCGTGTACATGTGCATGCTTAAAATTCCAAAAGGAGGGAGAAATGGAGAGGGAATTGTTGCATGATTCTGCCCATTGGGGGTGCTTTCTCTCTCTCTCTCTCACACACACACACACACACACACACACGCCCTTCGATAAATGAAAAAAAAAAAAAAAAGACTACAAACGAAGAGCCAGAGGTATATAGGGTGTCACCCTCTGAGCACATGGATGTTTTCACCACCTGGAAGCTCTCCTAATCCTATTGTCTAGAGTTTTGATAGTGCCCATTACATAGTCATGGTTGATTAAAGCATTGGTAATTGGCAAGTTCCACTCCTGGTCAGGAGGTAGGCCTGAAAGTTCCAATCCTCTCATTATAACTTGGTCTTTCTGGTGACCAGGCCCCACCCTGAAACTGTGGAAGGACCTCAGCCATCAGTCATCTCACTAGCATACCAAAAAAACGCACTGGGATATTCCAGGGGTCTTAGAAGCTCTTGTGTCAGGAACCTGAGGACTGAGACCACATTAAAAAAAGATGCTTCTATCACT